CTGAACATCATCGGACCCACCGTCTCGTCTTTCTCCGCCCTCCTCTTGCCAGACTTCCAGTCCTGAAACAGAAAACCAATCAGCACCTGAAGCCAGATCTCACCTGCAGGGGGCGGAGCCTGACCCACCCGCTCGTCCTTGTAGGTGAGGAAGAGCTGGAAGACGTCGCTCTGGGAGACCACCGGGTGGCGACACATCCTGGTCATCCAGGCCTGCAGGCGCTCCATCCTGATCCTGATGAAATCTTCATCAAACCGACCTGAGAGACCCGGCGACACTCAGACAGGCTCCACAGGTAAAACGGAGCAGGTGGCTATGGCGACTCCTCACCTGTCACCTGTTTGTCAGGAAGGGAGGGGATTGGCAGCAAGGATCCAAACTTCTCCAGGAGACGCTCGTACAGCCAATCAAAATGCTTGTAGCGATGATTCACAGTTCTGCTGGTGGTCTGCAGGGGGCGCACTGTGGTGAGGACTACTACACACTACTACACAGTACTACATAGTACTACACAGTACTACATAGTACTACACAGTACTACATAGTACTACACAGTACTACACACTACTACATAGTACTACACAGTACTACACAGTACTACACAGTACTACACAGTACTACACAGTACTACATAGTACTACTGTTTAGTTACTATACTGTTCACCTCTACAGATGAAGTCTGTGTTGTTTATAGCTGAATTCATCAGAAAGTACCTTCACTACAAACTACTATAGTGCAACACAAAGTACTACATAGTACTACAAGTACTATGTAGTACCATGTCTACATACAGACAGCCCTGGAGAACTACATGGTGTGTATCAATATACTCGGGCAGAGCAGAGCGCCTCACGTTGGGGGTGATCTGGTACTCTATGAAGCTCTTCAGGCCGTACAGTTTGGACTCTTTCTTCGGTCGGCGATGACGCAATCCAGAGGCGTCGCCGGGTAGAGCCACACCGGACCCACTTCCCCCATCTGATTGGACAGAAACAGGAGCCAATCACAGCGCACTGCACAGGCCCGTCCTAACTCAGAGACCAATCACAGGCAGGACTCACATAAACAGGAAGCGTTTCTCTGCTGGTGGCAGGAGGGCTGGCCAATAGGAAGACTTCTGGGCTCGGCCCTTTGGAGAACGGGAACCTGAGGACACATTACTGGGTTATACTGGGACCAGGACCAGGTCCTGGACTCTGAACCAGCGGCTACTGGTCTGGTTATGGTCCGGTTCTGGTCCCTGACCCGGATGAAGGAGTGATTACTTGTTGAGGGAGATCTTGACGGCGTGTCCGTGTGTGCTCCGCCCTGAAGCCCCCGCTTCCTCCTCCTCCATGTGGCCGTTTCCATGGTAACTGCTAACCGACTGGTCGTCCCAGTCGTCGTCCCATTCGCCGTCGTCGTCGTCGCCCCCTGCTGGAGACTGCTGGTAAGCCCCGCCCCCCGACCAGGAGTCTCCGCCTCCTCCGCCAGCAATCTGCAGGAAGGAAGCGATTCTGATGAAGATGATGATGAGGAGGAGTTAGTGGCCTTCCTCCTGACTCACCTGTAGATACCCCTCTGGTACCAGACCGGTCTGGCCGCCGGCGTTCTGAGCAGCGATCCAGCCTCCGCCCACAGTCTGCACAGCAGAGACCAGTTAGCAATGAGAGAGGACAGGAAGGACGGGGAGGACTGGGAGGACAGGAAGGACAGGGAGGACGGGGAGGACAGGGAGGACGGGGACTACCTGGTCCACGATGGTCACCGTCTCTCCCTCTCGGACCGACAGCTCGTTGTTTCCGGGTTCCGCTATGAAGTTATACAGAACCACAGCCTGAAACAGAACAGAGACCAGAATCGGGCTCAGACCGGACCGCTGGAAATAAACCTGAATGTCTGTGGTTCTGGTCTGGGTCTGGCTCAGGTTTGGTTCTGATTCTGGTCTGGCTCAGTTCAGTTCTGGTCCGGTTCAGGTTTGGTTCTGTTCTGATTCTGGTCTGGCTCAGTTCGGTTCTGGTCCGGTTCAGGTTTGGTTCTGTTCTGATCCTGGTCTGGTTCAGTTCAGTTCTGGTCTGGTTCAGTTCAGTTCTGGTCTAGTACTGGTTTAGTTTTGTTCTGGTCCAGTTTTGGTCCGGTTCGGTCTGGTTCTGGTCCGGTTCTACAGAGTCCAGCTGTGCGTTTCTTCAGCAAATAAAGCTGCAGCTGCATTATGATTAAACCAACTGGTTCCGGTTCTGAACCTGTTTACATCCTGCCCATTAAATACGGTTGCCATGGTGACCCACTGACACATGCAGGCTCATGCAAGACGGAGGAATGAGTTCTGGTTCCGGTCGGTGGAACCTGGACCGTTACGGAACCGCGTCCCGCTGCTATTTGACTTCCGCCTTCTGCCCACCTGGAAGCCCCGCCCCCTGGCCGCCCTGTCTTTGATCTCCACAGGTGTCACCAGTCGTTCGTTCAGCTGAGCCGCTCGCGCACAGGTGACCCATCCCCGGAACCCACCTGACCTCCACG